GCGCGTCGGTCTTTTGCGCAGTTTTTCCAATTTGAAAGACCATATTCGGCAATGTTATCTTCCACTTAATTTTTCCATCTTATTCGTGGCCTTCCCCTTCTGCGTGAACCATCAACTGGTTCGCTTTTATATGTCTTCTGGGCTGGGGCATCTTCATCCATTCGCACAACATGACCTAGCCAACGTATTCGCTGCAGCTCAATACATCCAACAATGTCGCTGTCCGAGAATAGCTGGTATAACTCATGGTTCATGCGACGTCGATAATCACTGTCGACGAAGATCGGACCGTAGATCTTTCAGAGAATTTTTCTTTCAAACGCCCCAAGAGCTGCTTCACCTGCTTGCGTAAATACCCATGCTTCAGATCCATATAACAGCACGGGTAGTATCAGCGTCTTGTAGAGTGTGAGTTTGGTCTGGCGGGAGGTGGCCTTGATTTTGAGTTGTTTGCTCAGACCATATTAGCATCTGTTGGCCATCACAAACCTTCTCCGAATTTCAAAACTGATGTCATTCGTTTTATTTATGGCGGTACCGAGGTATATAAAATCTTTAACTACCTCAAAGCTGTAGTTCTCAAGTTCCACAGTTGATCCGAGTCTACTGGACGTCAGACTCGGATCAACGTTGATACCATCTGCTTGGTCTTCTCGCCGTTTACTGCCAGACCCACTTTGGTAGACTCCTTCACAATTTGTTCAAAGGTGGCTGTTACCGCACGCAATGTTCGACCCATTATATCGATGTCATCGGCGTAGGCGAGTAACATGTGTTGTTTGGTGTACAGAGTGTCATTTCTGTTCACCTTTGGGTCACGTATGACTTTTCCAGCAGGATGTTAAAAAGATCACACGACAATCTGTCACCTTGTCTGAATCCTCGTTAAAGGGCTTCGAAAGGTCCTTTTCGACATAGTCGAATTAATTTTGCAGTAATGCCGAACGTAGACATGGCTTTAAACACCTCTGAATGGATAGGGCTGTCAACTGCGGCTTTATAGTCGTGGTATGTGTCGATGTTTTTTTTCGTGGGTCTTTTCCAGAATTTGGCGCAGAGTGAAGATCTGGTCAATGATGAATTTGCCAGGTTTGAAGCCGCATTGGTATGGTCCAATGTCCAATTGGCTTCAATCGTTCACACATCACACTGGATAGCACTTTATATGCGATGGGAAGAAGGCTAATTCCTCTATAGTTGGCACATATCGTCTTGTCTCCTTTTTTGTGCACGGGACACAGGATGCTGAGGCTCCAATCATTGGGCATGTATTCCTCTAGCGAAATTGTACTAATCAGCTGGTGCATGCTCCTGACCAGCATCTGACCACCAGTCTTAAACAGTACGGCTGGTAACCCATCGTCTCCTGCTGCTTTATTCTTCTTGAGCCGATTAATTGCTTTTATGACCTCATCTTGGCTAGGTGGTATACACTCTATACCAGTATCATCTTCACCGCCACTTTTTGATACTAGAAGCCTTTTAAAATGCTCCTTCCAGATCCTCAACACGCTGTCTGTATTTGTCACCAGATACGTGCTCACGCTCACGTTTTTTTGTTCTTTCTTCTTTTTTCTGAAAACACGTTTCTCCTCTCTCCTTTTCTCCCTTTTCTGCCCTATAGGCTGCGTTTTTCTCATCAGTAGCATTACGACCCCAATCAATCAACCTCATGCCGGTGTCGGATGTTTCTTCCTGAAGGCTGAATTTTCCGACGGTGTGGCTAAAGATATTTTCCCTTCCGATTTTTTCATTAAAATCTCCTAGCAGAAATTTAATGTCATGGCCAGAACAGCGATCATATGCTGTTTCTAGGCGATCGTAAAATATATCTTTGGTCTGCTCATCTTTGTCTTCGGTCGGAGTATGGGCGCAAATGAGACTGATGTAGAAGAACTTCGCTTTTATACGGATTATAGCAATTCGCTCATCTACTTGAGTGAATCTGGAGACGAGGTCTTTTATTCTCCTTTTAACCGCAGCCAAATTCATGTCTCGTTTCATGACAGCTATTATACAGGGCGTAATCATTTTGATTAAAAAAAATATTTTACGAAAATAGAAATCCCTTTATTTAAAAATTAATTGAAAAATAAGGCAATAATATTGGCTTTGTAATATATATACACATTCTCCGAGGCCTATCTGTCAGTTACTCCACATTAATTGTGTAAATATTAAAACGATCCCATCAGAATATTTAACACATTACCCGGCGACAAGTAGATGATGACGAAACAAAAGGTAAATTATATTCTTTTTTTATTTTTTTTCATCAGCTGGGGAATTCCCAGATTTCGGAAATGACCATCGAAATGAGAACACTAATTGAAAAATCTCTCAGGGCCTCCGCGAATAAAAAATGTTGTTGTTTTCAGAACAAAACAGCGAAGAAAAAAACAAGCTCATAAAAATTGTGTTGTTTTGTACGCCACAGGTGAATGAAGTCACAGAGAACAGAAACAGCAACAACAAGAAGATCAACAGCGCTTACAGCCGCTTCAAGTGCGCATGATTAGCGTATGGTTCTTTCGGCTTATCATCCATCCCAAACTAAAGTCGATTAAAAGAGACAATAACGATCAGAAGAAGACAATACGTGTTCGGCATAGCATCAACCATCACAAATTGTTTTTGTACTTCATGCAGTTGCCAATGGTAAAACGGTCGTGGTGGTGCCATGAGTAAGCCCATTAGAAGATGATGATGTTTGGGGGGGAATTTCAAATTAGCCAATTGTTAAAGTAAAGTACCACATCGTACAATCTAAGACGATGTACACAGATAGCGGGTGTGTTCTGTATTTTGAGTGGAATAACCTCAGCAATGATAATGATGATGGTAAATCCGATATGTCTGCCAGAAGATTATTTACTACAAATTAATAATACAAAAATGTTATTTAAATTGTTTTCTATTAACATGTTTAATATTTTGAACAAATGTTTAGAAGTTATTATTTTTTTCGGAGCGTAGTTCACTTCCGCCATGAAGAATTTCTCAGGAAATATTTGTTTCTCATAAAATCCTCTTTGAGAATGAGTTTCAAATTTCAAGGAATAGGTTTTGAATTTCAAAATGTGGTTGTCAATTTGTGGATTTTTAAAATAATATTAATCCGCATTTTAGGTCTAGAATGATGTGTGTTCAGTTTCCTGAAAATCGGTTCAGATTTCGAAATAGCTCTCACATATATTTTTGTCCAATTTAAGGTAAATGGTGCACCAAAGTCCCTAAATATTTTTCGATTTGCACGAAATTTGGCATAGCGTACTAAATTAAGTCTAGAATAATGTGTGCTAAGTTTCGTTAAAATCGGTTCAGATTTATATATAGCTCCCATATACATTTTCGTCCGTTTTTAGGTATATGGTGCACCAAAGTCTCAAAATATTCTTCGATTTTCAAGAAATTGGCATAGCATAATGAATTAAGCCTAGAATGATGTGTGCTAAGTTTCGTGAAAATCGTTTCATGTTTAGATATAGCTCCCATATATATTTTCGTCCGATTTTATGTAGTTGGTGCACTAAAGTCCCTAAATATTTTTCGATTTGCACTAAATTTAGCATAGCGTACTCAATTGAGTCTAAAATGATGTGTGCTAAGTTTCGTGGAACTCGGTTCAGATTTAGATATAGCTTCCATATATATTTTTGTCCGATTTTTTGTAAATGGTGCGCCAAAGTCCCTAAATATCTTTCGATTTGCACGAAATTTGGCATAGCGTACTGAATTGAGTCTATAATGATGTGTGTTGAATTTCCTGAAAATCGGTTCAGATTTCGATATAGCGCCCATATATATTTTCGTCCGATTACCAAAGTTCTTATATCTTTCGTTCAATTTTATGTCAATGTTCTTTCGAAAAGGTGACGTCTTTTAGGAGACTATGCAGAATATACCCATAGCGGTGAGGGGTATCATATATTCGTCCCAGTCCGACTTTACTACGTTCCGTCACCATATGTATAGTCGTGGATTTTTTAAATAATATTTTTCTATATAAAAAATCTGTATTTCCGAATTTAATTTTTTTCTGTTTTAATTTTTTTCTATTTTAATTTTTTTTCCTTTTTTGTTGTTGTTATTGTTAATTAAGTTTAACATAAAAGTAACTGAAGTGTGAGATTCGTTTAATGATCTTTCCATCATTTTGTTTTTCACTTTTATTTTCATCAGCTGTTTGTTTATTTTTTCGCTTTTTATTTGTCGTCACTCTTTCGTAGAAGACAATGAACTTTTTCAATGTTAAGTTCACGATTAACCCCGTGGAAAAAAATGGGACATTATTAAAGTTGGTCTTAATTTTTTGAAGACATGCGATCGTCAACAAACCACAAAACTCTTCCATGTGTAATGAGAGGTAACAGTGGGACCTCACAAAAGAGGATATGTTAATAATCTACAAAAGGGAAGTCTATTCTTATGATAATCCATTAATGGTTCAAAGTTTATGGTTCGAAGTTCGAAAAAATATAATTTTTAAAATTGTGTCTGCATTAAAGTGGTCCCACTGTCTGTTGAACAAAATCATTAGTTCAAATATGTTTTAAAATCTCACACGATATTAATGAAAAATTGCTCAAATTATAGACTGAGTTGAGCTATGAATTAGGTCAGTAACCCAGCTCAGATTTTTCATCATTGCTGTGAAGTTCCAAATAAAATGACGAATGGATGACGGAAAATCTCTAAAATATTTCCGCTCTATTGTTGTCTGGTGTCATTTCTAAATGACTTCTCATTATTCTGAAATATTGTGGAGAGGTATGTTTTTTGGCTTCCTATTCTATGGCTCAAGAAATTATAATTAAGAAAAAGGCGGGAGATTTTATTTGCTTATCAAATGGAAAATTGCTGTTGATTTTTTTAGAGGAAGATCTCCGGCTAGAAGATTTTGGTATATAAAATAGGTGGAGTTGAGATAGATTTTAAGCAGTGGATAAACAGCAGATCAACTGAGAGGGTAGTAGAAATCTAAAAAAAGAAAAAAAACTATGGCAGTAAAGGTAAGAAAGGATATATCCTTTACGAAGTCTCAAAATAATATCCTTACTCCTCTCTTTGTAGATTATAATGGTATGCATGGCCTTGGCCTTAATTTCCCCTGGCGTTTATGGTCAACAGCAAACACCCAAGGCGGAGGGACGTAGCTTTGGTGGTGTCCTGCCACCTTTTGCCCCACCCTTAGTGGGAGGTGGTGGTATTGGTGGCACCGCAGGTTCCTTTGGTTATGGCCAAACCAATTCATACAGCAGCAGTTCCAGTGCAAATGCCTATGGCCAGTATGGCAGCTACTATCCTGGCTATGGTGGCTATCCTGGTCCTGTGGGTTATGGTGGCTATCCTGGTGGTTATGGCGGCGGTTATGGTGGCTATGGAGGTTATAATGCCTATAATGCTTACAACAGTTACAGTGGCTACAATGGTTATACTGGTGGCTCGGCATATGGTGGCTATCCCGGTTATGGCGGTCTTTATGGTGGCAATGCTTTCGGCTAAAGTTTTTTTTAATTTAGTTTAAGTGAAGTTAAATATTTAATTTTTTGGGGTATGATGAGAAAAAAAAACGATAAATAAAAAATAAATTGTTAAGTTTTGTAGAAAAAAACGAAGATGTGCGATGACCTTGACTTGTGTTTGAAATTTAATAGGGGGAGGAGGGGTAAATATTGGTATTGGAGTTATGGAGAGGAAAATATTTTAAAACCCGTATGTTTATACCCATAAGGTGGAGGTTATAACGTGGAGGATATAAGAGGACGGCAACACATCAAAATATTCACCGAAGTCCCCGAAATATTCACCTTGTTTCGAATAAAATTCAGTGGCTATTAACCCTGCCCGACTGACAGGCATGTTTGACAATTGAAATCACGATAGAGCTTTCAATATTTAAGATAGATAAATAGGTATAAGAGGACAGCAACACCTAAAAATATTCACCGGATACCCGGAAATATTAACCTTGTTCCGAATAAAATTCTAAGGCGATATAAGCCTATCCGACTCTGTGTCTCTCAATTGAAATCACGATAGAGTTCGCAAAATTTAATATAGAGCTTTGAAACTTAGCACATTCATTACTACTACTCCTAGGATGTTTGGTAGTGAAAATGAGATTGTTCGGTCCAAATTTTGGTATAGGCCCCCATATTTCGGTACGCACAATTTACGATATTTTAGGGGAAATTTGTCTGTAATTTGATATTTCGGGTTCTCTTAGGGGAAAAGAAAATGTCCATATCAAATATTAAAAATATTGTCGACATTTTAGGATAGCATAAATATAGCGGAACCGCTCGGATTTTTGATATTTGGGGAGCTTGAACATGTTTTCCAACCAACATGGCTGTAATTTGATATTTGGGGTTCTCGTTGGTTAGCAAATCCTCATACCAAAAATGAACAATATTGGTCCACTTTTTAGGATAGCTCCCATATAAGGGTAACGTCGAAATTCCAGTATTTTGAGGAGTTTGGGCACATTTTTTCATTCAAATTGATTGAAATTTGGTGTTTTGGATTCTCACTGGGTGTCAAATATTTCTAACAAAACTTAAAAAGATAGGCTTATATATATAAGGGTAGGTCCCATAGAACGGTGCCTCCAAAATGAGGGTAGTTCCCATATAAAGTTACTAAGCGGATTTCAGTAATTCGGGGAGTTTGAGCACATTTTTTCAATTGAATTGACAGTAATTTGGTGTTCTGGATTTTCACATGGTAGCAAATCTTCTCATCAAAAATTTACAATATTGGTCCACGTTTTAGGGTAGTCATTATACAACGGTACCCTCCGATATTCGGTATTTTTTGGGGAGTTTGGACACATTTTCTAACTAGTAGTAATTTTGTATTTTGAGTTCTTTATGGATAAAAAATCTCCCTACCAAAGATTAACAGTATTGGTCCACTTTTCAGGGTACCCTTCATATAACAGTAACACCCGGATTTTAGTAATTTTGGGAGCTTGACCTTGTTTTTCAACCAAAATGGCAGTAATTTGATAAATGGATTTCTTCTCGGGTATAAAATCTCCCTACCAAAAATTTATAAATGTGGTCCACTTTTGAGAGTAGTTCCCATTTAAAGTTACTAAGCGGATTTCAGTAAATCGGGAAATTTGGGCACATTGTTTCTACCAAATTGGCTATAATTTGGTGTTCTGAGTTGTCATGGAGTAGACAAATGTCCAACCAAACATATTTAACATATTTAATTGGTTTAGGGTAACTCCCACATAACGGTACCACCCGGATTTCAGTAATTTGGGGAGCTTGAACATAGTTTTCAACCAAAATGGCTGTAATTTGGTATTTTGAGTTCGCATTGGATAGAAAATCTTCCCACCAAAAATTATGAATATTGGCCAATGTTGCAGGGTAGTCTCCATATAACCGTACCCCAAAAAAATCGATATTTTGTGTACGGGTTTTCAACGAAATTGGTTTAATTTGATATTGTGGGTTCCCATTGAATGTCAAATGTTTCTGCAAAAAATTATCAATATTGGTCCACATTTTACAATAGCTACCATATAACGGTACCTCCCAAATTTCGGAATTTTGGGAGCTTGAACAAATTTCTTACCCAAATTGGCTGAAATTTGGTATTTAAGTATCTCATTGGTATTTAAGTATATATTGACCTAGGTTACGGGGTATCTAACCTTTAAAGGTACCCTAATTATTCATTTTTTTTTGCCGATTTTGGTCAGACTTTTCAAGGGAATTGTCTCTAATTGTATACTTTGGGTTCTCATTGGGTAGAAGATCTTCCGACCAAAAATTAACAAAATTGGTCCAATTTTCAGGGTACTTCCCATATAACGGTACCATCCGGATCTCCGTAATTTGGGGAGATTGGACACGTTTTTCACCCAAATTGGCTGTAAATTGGTATTTTCGATTTTCATAGGGTATCAAATATCCCTGACAAAAATGATCAATGTTCGCCCAAGTTGCGGGGTAGCTCCCATATAATGTTACGTTCATTATTTGGTATTTTGAGGGTTTTGGGCACATTTTTCAACCGAATTGACTGTAATCTGATATGGTTGGCTCTAATTTCATATTTTGGGTTCTCATTGGATACAAGGTCTTCCTAACAAAAATTAACATAATTGGTCCAATTATCAGGGTACGACACCCCCCCCCCCCCATTTAAAGGTGCTAACCCGATCTCCGTAGTTTGGGGAGCTTGAGCACGTTTTCACCAAAATTGTATGCAATTTGGTATTTTTGGATCTCATTGGATAGAGACCCTACCAAAAATTATAGATATTGGGCCAGATTATTCGGTATTTTACCGATTTTTGTCTTATTTTTCAACCGAATTGTCTCTAAAATTTGATACTTTGTGTTCTCTTTGCAAAGATTTGTGAAATCTTCCAACGAAAAAATTATAAAAAATAGTCCAATTTTCATCATTTTCGGCATTTTGAGGATTTAAGATATATTTTTTTAAACTAAATTCGTTCTAATTTTATATTTTTGGTTAAAATTCTTCCTGCGAAAAAATGTGGATATTTGTCGAATTGTTCCCCATTGGTCCCCATATAATATTTTGATTATTTTGGGACATTTTCCCGAAGCGAAGTGACTACATTTCAGCACTACGAAGTGGTTGTAATTTGCAATTCCGGCAAATTGGGGGCAAACAATTTCTTTACAGAATATTTTCAATATAAGAAGTGACTATATCTCAAAAGCCTACTCTAATTTTCAAACGATTTATAAGTCGTTGTCTGTTGCCAGACTATTTGGAATAAAAACAAAATGTTATTATTTTTAATATTCCCCCAAGAAAAATTCAAAACTTCATTCACACTTCGACTGATTCAAAACTTGTCCCATTAAAAAAAACCTGTAACACCCTAACAGTTACTCCAAATACTGCTATGTTTTTTCATATTTGCAAACAAATAAAGGTCACCAAAGTAAAAAAATATTGAAAAAAAATCAAAAATTCATAATCCAAATATAGACCTGCATAGACGATTGATTTTTTTTGGAGGTCAATAATCTTTAATAAGAAATGGCCTAATCTGCATATAAGCCATAACCCAAGCTGATTCATCATCGTCATCATCGTCGATGATCTGGAAAACACCAATAACATTCGATGCAAAAACAAAAACATTTTCAAATCAAATCCATAATGAATTCAAAACTGACCAACAACAATTCCTCACCAATTTCACGTGCATTTTGGCCGTTGTTGTCGCTGCTAACAAGCTACCAATGGTGTAGTGGAGATTTGTTTTAATTGATAAAATTGGTTTTGGGTATTTTTTGCCAATATTTTTTTTCTGGCTGCTCAGCATCTTAGACCTCTCTGTCACACACTTGGACTATGTCGCCAAAAAAAACCAAAAAAAGAAAACCGGATTTTTTCAGGGGCACGCATACAAATCCATCCGACTCGACTGGACGGCAAAGAAAAAAAGAAATAAAAAACAATGTAAACAAAAAAGAAATACGCCAAGACTTCCATAATGTAAACCGCTTTATTTGAGCTATTAAAATATTTAACAAAAAAAAAAAAAAAAAAGAAACGAATCACTAAAACCTACTTATCGGATTTTTTTGTCGATAATGTGGTTACGGTGCTCGTGTGACCGAATATATGTATGTTTAATGAATGATTGCCCTGTAGAGTTGTCAACGATGGATAGAGGAATATAAAATGACCAGAAAATACAGGAAATTATGGGATTTTGGAAACATATGGATATAGGGTCCAATTGGAGGGTTTTTGAAGGAAAAATCAGTTAAAGGCATTTCTAGTGACAAAGTGGCTGCCCTATGTCCTTGATATCCCCAAGAATTTTATGTTTGAGTCCTTGCTTCTACGCTGGACTGTTGATGTAGAACTTTTTTTTTTAAATTACATGAACTTCAATCTTATTTTTCATACATGACTCCGTCGGACCACAAATCATCACGTACCGGTTATGAAGGCTTCTCAACAATAACTCTTGCGTTTTTCGAGCACCAGATGAAATATGGGTTGAAGAATTTCCGCAAAAAATTATCTTACTCACCAAAAGTTCGGAATGCTAAACTCAAATTTGCGAACATCGTTGGGAAATTGTATAGACCTATACTGAAAACTCACAGAGAAGAAGTTTTTGAAAATGTCGAAAATTGGTCGGAACCTTTATATGAAACCTATATTGAAATGTTTCGGTAAAAAAGTCTTACCCACCATGAGCTCGGAATGCTAAAGTACATTCTGAAAAATTCCAAAATGCAGCGGGACCTTCATATGAGGGTTTTTAAATCGCATTCCATTCGGTAGAGAAATGTAACTAAAGCCTTAAAAATACCAAAAATTATGCGGAATTTTTGTATGGAGTTCTGAGAAGAATTTATTTTTATTCCCCAGGAACCTGGAATGCCAAATTGCGGTGGAAAAATATGACTGAAACCTAGAAAATGTCGAAACACACTATGAGTTCGGAATGTAAAACTAGTAGGAAGTAGGTAAGCTCAACCTTAAAAATGTAGAAAATGTTGCAGAACTTTTATATGAGAGCGATATCAAAACATGGACCTGGCCTATATTTGAAAAATTTCCACGAAAAAGTGTCTTACTCACCATGACCAGGGAATGCTAAATTTCGGAATTTCTGTTGTAAATATGTGTTGGGATCTATATATGGCAGCTATCTCAAAATCTGGACCTATATCGATCATTTTTTTCCAAATAGTTTTTTTACACTCCCTGAATTCGGAAACAAAATAACATCTACTTCTTGACGAAAAATGTGACTAAAAACTTCAAAATACTAAAAAATGTGGGAAAGTTATATGGTAGCTATGTCAAATAACATGGTCCCATACTGAAAATGTTCTGGTGTGAAGTTTTTTTATTCGCTGGGAACACAGAAAGACAAATAACAAATACTTCAGTTGGAAAATTCGGCTGAAATCGCAGAGAAGACCATTGGAGATGCCTTTAATGGGACGGGACCTTTATATGAGGGATATTTCAAAACATGGACCTATGCTGAAAAAATACCGAGGAGATTCAGTTCCGATGAGAAAATTTGGTTAAATCCTTCAAAGTACTGACATGGTGGACCTGTATCCCAAAAATTCCCTCCAAAAACCCGGAACGCCAAACTACACTCTTTGTGGCTGCAAAAATCGTCAAAATGGAAACATACTGGTAATGTTTGGTCCGAATTGTTTTATTCACGAGGAACACGGAAGGTAAATTACAGAACCTTCGGTTGGAAAATTTGGCTGAAATCCCAAGAAGATACCTATAATGGGACTGGACTTTTACATGGTGGATATGTCAAAACATGAACCTATACCGAAAAAAATCCGTGAAAATTCTGGTTCGTTGAGAAAATTTGGCTAAATCCTTTAAAGTACCGATATGGTGGATCTGCATTGCAAAATTTTCCCTCCAAGAACCCGGAATGCCAAACAACACACACTGTGGCTGCAAAATTCGTCAAAATGCCTATAATGAGACGAGGCAATATCATAGCCTATAGCCAAAATTTTATACAATTATGCCATTTAAGAATCCGACATGCCAGATTACCACCACATGGGTTCATAATAGGCTTCGAAAACCTCAAAAATGCAGAAAATAGAGGTGGTTGTGTTATAGGAGAGCTTTGAAAAACGTGGTCCCATATGCCGCATTTTTCACACCTAACATCATGGGAGTAGTAGCTATGTCTATGCACAAAGCCCTACATTACATATAGTGATCTCTATCACGATTTCAAGGCTATATAATTTTACAATATAGAATATTATTCCGAACAAGGTCTCCGATATATATTTCGAGGTGTTGCAAATATAATTACAAATTTAATATTTTGTTTTTAAAATAAAATTTGAATTCAATCCCTCAATTTATTTATTGAATTGAAAATAAATATGAACTGGCATCCCTATAATGGTGCGCCTGCACTAGGGTTCAGTCAAAAAAAAAACCTTTTCAACAGCATCCACTTTATTTTAGTGTCAACATATTCCAGCATCATGGAATGCTCATCCAAACCCAACAAGAAAGACATAAAAGTACATGGCCAGATGACGGCAGGTTTAGTTTTTTTACAGATCGTCACAAGGAAGGGTTAATAAAAAAATTTAAAACTATTGAAAAACCCCGCGTGAAGTGAATAAAAAATAGATAAAACAAATTAAAAAACAATAATAATATAGTAATAAAAATATATATTAAAAATGAATTTAATTGTGAGTAAAATTATAAAAAAAAGAAATATGAAGTGAAAATAAAACATTTAATTAAAAAATTATAAATTATGTTTTCCCAGAAATGCTGTATTGGTGCCCTACTTTTATTGCTGGGCTGTCTATCCGTATCCGGTGGCAAATTGAAATTGGTGGCTTTGAAAGGTCCCCATGGCGGATTTGTGGGGTTGAAATATCGTAAACCCAAGTTGTTGGGTTTGAAACATCATGGCTTTGGCCATGGTTTGGGACATGGCTTTGGCGGTGGATTCGGCCATGGTCTTGGTGGCGGTTTTGGCCATGGCGGTGGATTTGGTGGCGGTTTCAGCGGTGGCTATTCAACTTCTTTTCATAGCTCAGCTGGCTTTGGCGGTTGGCTGGGAAGATGAATTCAATTGGAATTGAAAATTCTAAATTATTTTATTGTGTTCGTTTTATTGTTAGTAGTTATATTTATTTAAGAAAATTAAAAATTAATTACAATTAAGTATTTTAGTTTAAGAGTGTTATTATCTGCATCTTTATCATTATTATATAGAACACAGTCGAATTGGCGAGGAATTTAATTGTTTTAATTTTTTGGCCGATTGTATTCTATCTTAGATCCATTGTTAAATTATACATTTGAATTTTTGAATAAATAACTAGAAAATAATAATAATAACAATAATGTGACTAATACCTTCAAAATACCGAAAAAGGTCGAGACATTTATATGGGAGCTATGTCAAAATATGGACCTATACTAAAAATGTTCTGCAAATAAGTTTTTCATTCATCACGAAACCGCAATACCAATAGTTAGCGGTTGAAAAAAGCGGCTAAAATTTTCAAAATATCGACAATGGTGCGGAAAACTGTGTAAAAAATGGACCTATACCGACAATTTTCTGCGAATATTTTTTTATTTACTAGGAAACAAAAATTCCAGGTTACAGACAATAATTGTTTTAATTTTTTTGCCGATTGTGTTCTTTCTTAGATCCATTGTTTATATTAATAACAATTATTTTAATTTTACTGACAATATTTTTAATATTTCGTGGTTTCCGAACATTTCGACAAATTTAGCTATGAACACTATTAACAAAAACTCCAAAAATTTATATTCATAGAAATTCTAAAACATCGTAATAAAATTGTTAAGAAAAATTTTACAAAAAAAATGTGGAACGCTTCACGATTTTGCGTGTCATCCTTGCGCAGGGGCCATGCTAATCTTCTCTGTATCGTTCCAATTTTAGTATATGTTCTGCCGAAGCAAGAACGTAGTTGTGAGTTTTTATTTTCTACTTATACGTACAATTTAAGAAAAACGTATATGAGAATTATTAGCCATGGTCATGGCATTATACACAAAAATAAACAATTGCCCATTAGCTCCGATTAAAACAACTAAGATAAGATGTGTGCATACATCTTCTTTTTAAGGGTTGCTCGAGGTCAGGTAGAAAATAAGGTTAGGGGATCTACATGCTGCAGTTTGATGTTGTGTACAAATCACATGCACATTGAAATTTTATGGAATTCATTCATAATGGGTATTTATTAAACGTTTACCCACCTTTTTACATGTTTAGACTACCACACAATCACGTGTGACTGATTTAGCAGAAACCATCGCAACGGGGATGTAGCTCAGATGGTAGAGCGCTCGCTTAGCATGTGAGAGGTACGGGGATCGATGCCCCGCATCTCCAGAGTTAAATCTTTTTGGTATATTTTAAAAATCGAACAAAATTGTGTAAGATAAAAATGTGATTAAAATTATTCAATTAGTTTTTTCATTTTCGAGATATTTTTCTTACTATATTATTTATTTCTTCATAAAATATAAATGTCTTTCAAAATGCACAAAAAAGTCAACGGGCTCAACCGGGATTTGAACCCGGGACCTCTCGCACCCAAAGCGAGAATCATACCCCTAGACCATTGAGCCTCATAACGGTACCATGTTCATTCATATACATCAGCCTATGCTTTGTGTATCCACTAGTCGCTTTCATTCACAATAAGACGTAATCACAATGGGAGTACTAATCACAATGGGAGCAATTAGTGTTGTCATTAGGTATGTTCGCACGACACAATTTATTAGTTTACTTTATTGTATGTAGAAGATGTGCTAAGTATATAACACAGAGTAGCTGATCTAAAGACAAAACTAAATTTCTCTGTATAAAATATTAATTTATAAAGGAATTTTGGAGCCATATCAAGGCTTATTAATAAAAACATTCAGGGAGACCAGCTGTATATCAGTCGTTTATCAACTTTGCTGTAAAAATCTATGATTGTAAATTGACTTCTATTATGAAAACTTAAACAACGTCCAATTTTTTTGGCATTATAATTGAGAAAAAACTTGCAGGGTGAACTTGCTGGGTGATCTTAAGTCATATTTTAAATTTGACGCCGATCTCCTTTATTCTTTTACATTAATTAATGTCAACTTAACATGTTATGCCTGAAATCCTCGTATGTGCCTTTTCCCTATAAAAAATACATTAATTTATATGAAATTTTTGTGTGTTACAAAAATTATTACCAAAAATAAAAATTATATCGATAAAACTGCACACAAGTTACCGAAGAATGGACATCGAAAGCTAAAATATTTGCTATAGACAAATTGCTATCAAATTTAGGGAATGAACTAGAAAAGTTCTAATAATTCTTTTGGGATTAATTTCTTCCTCTATTTCTTAATTGGTGCAATTTTATTCTCCAGAAAACTTCACTATAAGTCACCTAACAAGGAAAATCGTTAGCTATAGTATTTATAATAGAAATACATGCCTATTCGAAATTGGATCGAAATTGGACCGATTTGTATCATTTTGGCAAACACTTAGTTAGTTAGTTTCGTCGGATTTTATGTAAATTGTGCACCAAACTCCCAATATTGGTCCGATTGAGACAACATTTTGAATAGAGTACTGAATTATGTCCTGATTGATGTGTGCAAAGTTTTTTTGAAATCGGTTCAGATTAAGATATAACTCCCATATATAGTTTCGTCCGATTTTATGCATATGGAGCATCATATTGCCAATGTTTTCCGATTGAGACATTTTGAATACCGTATTGAAGTTACTACAGGTTGTCATCCGTTTGTTGAAATAGGTTCAGATTTAGATATAGCTCCCATATATATTTTCCTCAGATTTTATGTAAATGGCGCACCGTATTGGATTAAAGAGGTTTCAGATTTAGATATAGCCCCCATACATATTTTTATCCGATTTCATCAAAATGTTATACCAAATAACTATAGTTTGTCCGCTTAGGACGAATTAGAGCACAACGTACTAAATCTAACTTAGAATAAGGTGGATTTGGATTTTGTGTCGAGATACATTTTGGATATACTGTGCACTGTGTTCCAGCATACCAAATGCTGGATACCACTGTTGCTCAAACACGTCCATTTATATATAGATCATATAAATATTTTATTCGATGATTCACATTCAATTGTTATAAATTTCAGATTGGTATGTGTATGGGCTGTTTTAATTTAGTTCAAATGTCTGTGTACTTCATGCAGTTGATTTCGTCCGATTCCATTTCAATGGTCCTCCAAAGATGCTATGTCTATTCTATCTAAAGGATATTGTACATATGAGCATCTCTTACTGGTTTTAAATTGGTTTCATTCCTAGACCATTTCATTAATTTCGAGAGTTTATCTTAAAGTAGAAAATATTCTCCCGAAAATTAAACTGTCGTTAACTGTCGTTGCCTACAATATTTGGCAAAAAAACTAGAAAAATTTTAATTTAGTTTTGCGGATTCATGTCATGCCTTCTATAAATTGGTTCTGAAGATACTCTAAATGAAAAAATATACACCATAACATTTTCCGAAATATACACCATAAAATCATCCTATGGTTTGACCATTTGTGGGGGTCCTATCATCGGACTTGGTTTAGGCTTTGTATAACAATGGGTTTGCAAGGTTTGGTTCAAATCGGTTCAATGGTTGGTTCAATATTATATTGAATCAAGTTTGGATCGACTCCAAATTGTGTGAAACAGATTTGATACAATGAAAAATGTACTCTAAAATTAATATTTCTATGAGGAACATTTTTTCCGTGTCAAAGTGTATTTACCTACCCACATTTATGTATCCCGAATTTATGTATTTTGACACAGGCTTCAAAAACTAGCAGCAAGTTTGATGTTCAAGATTATAATTGAGTAGAAAATCTCCCTAAATATTTAAAATTCAGTTTTTGGACTCTGAAGACCTATAAAAAAACTCTTTAAGATAAGACGTTATGTTCCGATTAAAACTTTCGAGAGTTATCGTAAACATCAAACAGAGAGATTGACGGACTGACGGACACTCCTAAATCTAAATATTCCAAATTATTTTAATTTAGTTTTTCTCTCTCGAGTCGAACAAATTGTCTGAAATGGATTTTATACAAAGTCGCTAGGGCCAGGAAACGAAATTTCCAATTTTCCGGGATATTAATGTGGTATCAGATTGTATATACCCTCAATGATTTCTTAAAATTGTAACATCATATATAAGGGACGTAATACCCTATGTGTTATGTCTTACGATACTTAACATTTACGCTTGATTAACAGAGCCCTAACGGGTACTAAAAACGCTTAAAACTTTGTTGGCGATTTTAAATGAAAAGTTAGTTGTAACATTGTCTCAAACGAACGTGCCATCGCCTTTCTGTTCAATGAAAGGTTTACAGCTCGCAAGAGGCTCAATGGTCTAGGGGTATGATTCTCGCTTTGGGTGCGAGAGGTCCCGGGTTCAAATCCCGGTTGAGCCCGATCTTTTGCAACTTTTTTTTAAATAAATTGTTTTTTAAAGACTAAATATTTAATTACAAAGAAATAATGAAGCTCGAATGGAGAAAATGACTTCTCACGATATATAAGTGGGTAATTTATTATTACAATATGTACATGTGTTTGTATCACATGCGTGAACATATGTCTATTCGTATACATTCCATGACCACCAGCCTGTGGTTCCTTTAGATAAGTCCGTTTAAAACCTGTTAAGTGATTTCTGTGGAGTTGTGTTCGTGGGAAGGAGAAATAATTTTCCCCCTACAAAGTAAACTACACATAAAGAATATCTTCTTCACATGTCGTCCAACATGAAGATATTTACAGCGTGTGCTTTTTGCTGTTGTTGTTTTTGTTTATCAAGTTGTGTGTGTGTGAGCTTGATATGTCCATCCATCCATTATCCTTGAGGATATGTTTATTTTGTATAGTCAGTCAGTGCAATGGAAGTTGTACAAACGTTTTTTGTTATTCTATGAACTACAATCGAGAGTCGGATGATGATGATATTCTTCAGGGAGATGATACTCTGGGGTGTTCACTACGTCCACACTTGACTA